TGAGACTCCGTCTCAAAAAAAAAAAAAAAAAAAAAAAAAAAAAAAAAAAAGACTCATATATCCAATAGGTGCTCTATTTGATTACGCCCCAGATATCAAACAAACATAACCAAAACTAAAATTACTTCTCATCTCCTCTGAGGAGATGGTCAAAATATGTAAGAACAGGTACCTGGTATCTTTCAGCTTATACAGGTCTCCTGGTGCCCTCTTCCAACCCTCAATGGCCTGGCATAAACAATAGTTGGTGGTGGCTTACAACACGACAGTTTCATATTTTAATGAACAGCCCACAGGCAGGTAAGGCTCTTCCAACACTTTGCCAACATCATCTCTGACTTGGAAATCAGGCCAGTATTGAGTGAGGTACCTTGTGTCTCTCCTAAAAAGTTCCAAATGAGACCTATCTTAGAATACTGTAATTATCCATCCCTTCATTTATAAACTCTCTGGGAGACTGGAGCCCCTACAGGCAAGGGATTGTGCCCACCAAGTTGGACATCTTAGCCCTAGTAGTCCATATAGTAACTGGCATAGAGTACGTACTCAACAAATAATATCAATCAGTCCATCAAACCTCAAGGTTAAATAGATGCTTGAGGTGATGGATACCCCATTTACCCTGGTGTGATTATTATGCATTGTATGCTGGTATCAAAATTATTGTATACTCCATAAAAATATATACCTACTTTGTAACCCCCAAAATTAAAAAATATGTAAAGTTAAAACAATGTAACCAGATGTTACAGGGGTCTGAGTATTTATCATTACTTGTATAAGGCTGAAATCACAGAAACACACACAATAATTCAATCACATGAGGAAAATTATCTGGAAAATATCAATTTGGGTTTGTTGAAATACTTTAATATGCCAAAAAGAATAAAATTGAGATTGCTACATTTTTTTCCTCCTGTTCCCAAATATACACACAATTATTTTAAAGGGTAGGGGAAAACATAACACAACTATTTAAAAGGTACTAACAATTCCATATTCTTATCCTAGAAATCTAACATAGTTGTGAGTTAAAAACAAAGATTTCTGGAGGAAACAGAACTACAACCTTATTTAAAAGAAACATAGGCCGGGTGCAGTGGCTTACACCTGTAGTCCCAACACTTGGAGAGGCCAAGGCAGGTGGATCCCTTGAGGTCAGGATTCAAGACCAGCCTGGCCAACATGACGAAACCCTATCTCTACCAGAAATACAAAAATTAGCCAGGCCTGGTGACAGGCGGCTGTAGTCCCAGCTACTTAGGAGGCTGAAGCACGAGAACAACTTGAACCTAGGAGGCAGAGGTTGCAGTGAGCCAAGATTGTACCATTACACTCCAGCCTGGGTGACAGAGCAAAACTCTGTCTCAAAGAAAAAGAAAGAAGGAAGGACGGACGGACGGACGGAAGGAAGGAAGGAAGGAAGGAAGGAAGGAAGGAAGGAAGGAAGGATTTAAGTAAGTTTTTATGCCATATCTTGTTTTAAAATGAACTTAAACCAGATTACAAAAACACACACAAACATAACTAAAAAAAAATAACATGTATAATAAGTAAAGAGATCTCAATAGGAAAAAAGAACCCACAAGAATAGAAACTAAATCTAGAAATGAGGTTGAGATACAAAATATATGGTCCTGGATATTTGCAAGAGATGGGTCCTGGATGAACCATTCCCTAGTTCATGTGAATTCTGATATCCTTCTATTCTCACCCTCATAAACAATGTATTTCCATCCCACAGATAATGTGTATTTGTCAGTTTTCACGCTGCTGATAAAGACATACCTGAGACTGGGTAATTTACAAAGAAAAAGAGGTTTAATGGACTCACAGTTCCATGTGGCTGGGGAAGCCTCACAATCACGGCAGAGGCAAAAGGCACATCTTACATCGTGGTAGGCAAGAGAAGATGAAAGCCAAGCAAAAGGGGTTTCCTCTTATAAAACCATCAGATCTTGTGAGACGTATTCACTACCATGAGAAGAGTATGAGGGAAACCACCTCCATGATTCAATTATCTCCCGTGGGATCCCTCCCACAACACATATAAATTAAGGGAGCTACAATTCAAGATGAGATTTGGATGGGGACACAGCTAAACCATATCAATATGAGACTTCCCAGGCATTCTCTCAGTATCATCTTCCCCTGATACTTCTAAAGCCTCATGCTCACCGTTTTTATGGTTCTTCAACTTTTCTATTCAGGAGTTTTTCTTTTCAAAAGCATCCTCAGCTAACACCCTAGAGGATCACCATATTTCCTTTTTAGTGACAAGCTCACAGCCTACACATACCTGCCCTGTAGCCCAATACCCCAAGATGGCTGAACCTGTCACAGAGACTGTATTACCCAAACTTCCTCTTTATAAGTATATTTTTCCCTAGTCCAAAGAGGTGTATGTATTCAAAATTGTGTTTTGATTTACAGCCTGCCCCCAAACATTTTTTTAAGAGACAAGGTCTCTGTCATCCAGACTGGAGCACAGTAGTGTGATCTCAGCTCACTGCAGCCTTGACCTCCCAGGCTCATGCGATCCTCCCACATCGGCCTCTTGAGTGACTAGGACTGCAGTCATGCCACACTATGCCTGGCTAATTTTTATTTTTTTTTAATATTTTTTTAAAATTTTTTTTAGAGAGAGGGTCTTGCTATGCTGCCCAGGCTGGTCTTGAACTCGTGGCCTGGGATTACAGTTGTGAACCACTGCACTCAGCCCATTTAAACACACATACACACACACACACACACACACGATAACAACTATGAAAATTCTGTGCTAGAATAAAATCAAGTTTTGTGTTCACTCAGTTCTAAATCACATCCTAACAGCTTCGACTGCAGGCAGAAGAGCATAAAACCAAAGCAATTTTGATTCACTCTACCACAAATCTTTTCAAACGAATTCTTTCAGCTCTACCAAGATCTACGTACAAAAGCTGAAGCCTTCTATTCCTTCAAGCTTAAACAGACACGCTTGGAATACAGCTAAGCGGTTTGTTCCAGCTGTTTAAATCTCCAGTCCCAGGAGCCTGCCTCCTGAAAGTATTGTAGACTTTACATACTTGAAAACGAATAGAATGGGTCAGTCAAAGGACACACTTGAGGTCTGTGTCTGATAAAAGTTGGGGGTGGCAGGAACTATTAAGACATTGAGAATGTACTAGAGGTACGTAATAAAACTAATTTTGAAAATACATTTTATAGCAATTACTGGAAAACATTTAGAATAGTACATGTGTTATTGTGCTATCTAAATACTAGCAACATGAGCTTATTTGCTCCACTGTTTTTATGAAATCAGATATCAATACCCTCCGCTGTGCTTTCTAACCACTTAGTATTGACATATACTTTGAAAAACAGCCTCAGCTTAAAACTCAAGCCAGTGTAACTAAGAATTTGTTTTATGCATTAGTTTCATTCTTTTAATAGAAATAACAACCATCTCTGTAGTTCCTTTTTGATCCTTAGCATGCTACGATAATTAACTTTTTCCTCAATACTTCATAATGCCTACTTAAATTTGCCTAACCCCATTATATAACTACCAAAAAACTCAGATCTTCACTATTTTATTTGAAACTCACACACAACCTTGTAAACAGATAGTATAACTTTAATTTTATAGGTAAGGAAACTGAGATAGTAGCTATGTTGTAAATACATACAAAGGAATATGCATCCATTGTTTGGAGGCATGCCTATTTAATGATTAAAGGATGATGATGCCATCTCAAATTTATTTTATTCCTTCTATCAAAAGGTCAACTCAATCTAAATAAACCCATAGCTATCCAACTTCCATACATTCAACATGAAAATATTTTTATGATTGTATTACCAAGTCACAGACGTCATCAGTCATAATCCCAAGACCATGCCGAATAAACTTCCAGAGGGCAACTATTAATTAGAGCACAAGGATGCCATGGAAATTACATTGTTATGAAAAAATAAAGAAATGAACAAATAAACGTAGTCTTTAAATGTACTGCCAGGGAAATGCCACATACCAACACTTCCATTTCAAGAACTGTCACTGCTGGAAGTACACAAATTTCAGTAAATTCGACAAGAAAAAATATATAGGAATCCTGTTCTGTAAAGCAATTGCAGCTCAGAAGTTGCTCATTTTCGAATACTCTATATCAGTTAAAAGCCTCTTATCATGACAGGCAACCATAACAAATTTCGCTGAATTTAAAAATACAGGTCTGGTTATCATTGAGGCGCTGGTTTCTACCTCCTCACAAACTCCAGAAAGACTCTGAAGTTCTTTCAGCTCGAGTTAGATGAGAGAAAATGCAATTCATATTTCCAGAAGCACAAGTGGCATATTTTCCAGTAAGCTTCTTGTTCTCATTTTACTATTTTAGGAGTTCTGATCACTCCCAATGTTGCTGTATGGCCAGACCCGATTTCTGCTGGCTGATCATTTTCATGGCATGATGCTTTACTAAAACTGTCTCCAAAAACTGTTTTTACTCGCATTCGGCTTCAGTGTATTTATATACAAAATACCACTTCAATGGAGTGCTGCCAATAAAAGAAACAGCTTACTAGAATTTCAGTTGACTTTGTTAAAGGAAATTATTTTAAATTAATGTGGCTACTGAACTGCTGCCATCCTTGACCTCAGAAAATAGATTCCTTCTAATTTTTGCTGTGAACATTTATTTAAGTTAAATTCCAGCTCATGAATGTTGACCGTAAAAGAGTCTAAACCTTCCTGCTACTATTTCATATTCTTTCTCTAAACAAGGGGGTGACCACATGGTTGCTACATTAGTATACAGAGCCAGCTCACCACCATTAAGTGAAATCATCTATGTATTTTTGGTAGAATCTTTAACAACTTCCACGCCCGTCGGTGAATGGAACAAGGCTGTTTTGTTTTCAGAGAGCAACAATTTGATCTCTGGTTTACTTGGTGGTGCCCCAAATATTTTTCCATATGCTTTTCGCAAAGAGAATCTGACATCAGCATGGTTTACCTTTACCAATGAATGCAGGCTTTTTTCACCAAACATATCCCAGAGGAAGGTCAGGTCTTCCTGGCTATCCACATGTGGCTGCAGCTGGGCTGGCAGAGCAGCCAACAGCTCATACAGACCTATAAAATGAAAATAAAACACAAAGTGTAATCTTAGAGTGATCTCATTAATTTTGCCTAAGGTGTGTGTAAATGACAGCTGGAACATACCGATTTTACTGGATTTGTATTCCGGGCCATCAAGCTAAACACTTCTCCGAAGAACCAAAGGGGAATTTTCTGGTTTTTGAATTCCAAAGCAGTGGTATGTATTAACAGACTCGTTTTTACCTCTCACAATTGTCAACATTCTACAGCCATCCAAGTTTACATAACCCGAGACAGAAAATGTGTACAGGTTTTCAGAAAAAGAAGAAAACGCATACATTCCTTTCCCTAATCATTATTACATTTCCCTCAATCTAAGCCAAAGAGTGAAATGAGTCATGAATAGGAAAAACTTCCTTAGAAGAACAGAAAATTGATAGGGTGGCCCATTAAAGGGGTTTTGTAGTGTCCAAATAGTTCCTAACAACATATAGTTTCAAAAATACTTGCATTATCTAACATCCAAAAGAAGGTCCTACAAAGTACGGGAAAAGAAATCATACGTGGTTCTGCATTACTATAGTCAACTATTTAAAAAAAAAAAAAAAAAAAGCTACGTAAAACTTGGTTTACAATTGGGGGATGTACAGTTTATGTAATACCCTCTGAAAGAGTTAAAGTAACAGATGCGGGTTACTCGTGGAGTCCTCACTAGACACTTCCTAGGGGCAGACAGTAGTGCAGTGTTCCACAGTAGCGTGCTACATAAACCATCCATCTCCATCACAGCCCGTAACACTCCTGTCCAAGAAATGTTGCAACAGTGCCTGCCCGAGACTCTTTAGGGAGGTGACCTGGCAGGAGTCAATATCAACTCATAGCACATGTTTCATTTTCCAGTGGGATTACATGAGGTAAAAAGGACAAAATTCCTTTTATTTCTTGTCTGCTGTCTACAAAAACACCAAGACCTCCTGGGACCTACAACACATGGGACTGTTGTTATTTTTGGTCTGAAAAAGTGCTGCTGTTCATCACGGGGACAGCTTTACAAGAGATTTAACTAGCAAGGAATAGTAAATTACGGGCTGATGATTCGTATATCTATTATCTTCCTGAAGCATGCTGATTTTGCTTATCAGTGATAACTCACAACCAAAGGCATTAGGTACCACGTTGAAAGTTAAGATACGTAACTTGGGAGATCTGATTAAATTTAAACATTCCTGGGGCCTTATTTGGCAAAAAATAAAAATAAAAATAAAAATAAAAAGCTAAAACACTCTTAAAAAAAAAAAAAACACCTTCTCTCAATTACATTCTGAAGTATTCTTGGTGTTTTACATCTATTCCCTTAAGATTCTGGCATTCTGCCTACAACAGCTGTTATTTACAATTTAGTAAAATTATTTGTAAGGTATCTCAACCTAACTCAATCTGTAATAATACAGGTCTCATTATATATATGAAAGTAATCAACAATGGCCAAGATCAGTGGTTAAGGTCGGAAGTCAAAACGTGAAATTATGTAAAGAGAGAGTGGAATTTCATTATTTTATTATTGATTTGGGGAGCTGTAAAAATAATTACCTATTCCTTGGTAACGTGACTTAGAGTTTAATTACGGAGACTAATTCAACTGTGATATAATTTACATGATAAAAGTTGTCAGGAGGACTAAATGACTCAATACCTTAGAACAGTCCCTGTCACATAAAAAGTACTCAATATGTTTCATATGAAACTCGGTAAGTTTTAGTCATTGTCATTATTAATTATTACTATTATTAATCATATCATTACTGAAAAAGCAAAAGTGTGAATCAAACAGAGCTAGATTCAAACTCAAAGTCTATACTTAGAGCATTTCACGTAACTTAACCGAGCCTTGTTTCTCTCACGTGTTTAAAAAGAAATAGTAACCTTTAAGTGTGGTAAAATTGCATAGCATGGCCAGGCACAATGGCTCATGCCTATAATCCCGGCACCTTGGAAGGCCGAGGCAGGCGGATGACTTAAGGTCAGGAGTTCAAGACCAGCCTGGCCAATGTGGTGAAACCCCATCTCTACCAAAAATACAAAAAGTAGTCCAGCGTGGGGGCACACGCCTGTAATTCCAGCTATTCAGGAGGCTGAGGCAGGAGAATCACTTGAACCCTGGAGGTGGAGGTTGGAGTGAGCCGAGACCACACCACTGGACTCCAGCTTGAGCAACAGAGTGAAACTCTATCTCAAAAAAAAAAAAAAAAAAAAAATTGCATAGCACTAAATACGCAAACACACAGAGACACACACAAATGAGTGCATATAAAACGTGAAATCTGAATAAGATCAAAGGATTGTACCAATGACAATTTCCTAGTTGCAAGACTCTATTATAATTATGCAAGATGCTACCATCGGAAGAAAGTGGGTGAGGGGTACATGGGATCATAACACAAATCTACAATTATCTCAAAATAAAATGCTAATACAAAAAAAATATGACAAACACGGTTGTTGTAAGAATTCGATAGAGCAATGCACATGGCGGCATTCAGCCCTGTGGCTGGCACAGAGTAGGCGCTCCTTTGCTTAACATGTCTTCTTCTAGAATGAAAATGTCATTTCAATTCAATGGTTCAAAGTCAAAACAATAGCTTAGCTATATATTGCAACTGGATACAATACCATACTCAGAAGTAAAACCACGCTAGTCTTTTACATATGGAAAGTGTTAACTTTACCCAAGTACTGCTTACATTTTGTGGGAATATGCCATATTTAAGTTTTTATAAAAAATAATTTTTCTGTTAGCAGAAGCTCATAAACCAGAGTTTTCTGGGTTTTACTAGTTTTATGCAATCCTAACTAATATCCCACCATAGTTTGGCACTCTAGCGACAAGAGCTGTCCCTTCCCTTCAACTACCACATCTGGTAACCATGACCACAGCAAGAAAAGACAGGACAGTGCCAACCAGAAATTAAAGACATGATTAAAGGAGCTACCAGGCCAGAGCTATGTGCAGTCTCCATGAAGGTAAGTAATACAGACAACTACTTCCACTCAAATGAATTATATGGGCCTTAGAAACCATCTCTGGCCATGCATAAAATGGGGCCTGTGTTTTAACATGTTTTTTAAAATACTCCTATACTCAGTTCCTAAAGTTCTAATGGTGAAGAATTTTGTGAAATCCAAATGGTTTGGGTCGTGGAGATTCAAAGGGCAAATGATGACAGTTTAGATAGCAGGAGATATTTTTTAAGAATTTACCTAAATCTATTTGGTCTCTGGGCAACAACTGAGACAATGAGATACTCTACACTCTTTAGTCATTCAAACTCATTGATTCCAGTAAACATTTATGGTAGCCATGAATGAAACACTCCTCAAGGTTCTAAAGATCTAAGAAAAATCAGTCACGGCTCCTGTCCTCAGGAGTTTGCAGTGCAGTAGACAAGCACAGACAGGTCTATTAGTAAGTCCAGGGCAAGGTTAGAGTCTTGTGGCAATGGCAAGGGAAGTGGTCAATTCCTGCCAATGAGGAAGAAGACATCAGGAAAGTCTTCAGAAAAGAAGTAAACACTTGAGTTAGGTCTTTGCTATGGTTTGAATGTGTCCCCTAAAAAGCATGTATCAGAAACTTAAACCCCAATGCAAGAGTGTTGGGAGGTGGAGGCCAATGAGAGGTTATTAGGCCATGAGGGGTATGCCCTCAAAGATAGATTAATGCCATTACTGTAAGACTGGGCTCATTATCTTGGGAATGGGTTCATTATATGAAGATGAGTCAGTCTTCTACTCCGTCTCTTTGCCCGTCTGCCATGGATGACGCAGCAAGAAGGCCCTCATCAGATGCTGGTTCCTTGATCTCGGACTTCCCAGCCTCCAGAACTGTGAGCCAATAAAATTCGGTTCATTACAAATTGCCTAGTCTGTGGTGTTCTGTTATAGCAGTACAAAACTGACTAAGACCCTCTTTAAAGGCAAAGTTCCTAAGAATCAAATTTACTTAGTTCTTATATTCAGAGTACTATGCTTGTCACTGGAGATACAACTTATAGAACATACAACTCTCTGCCCCCAGAGGTCTTATCATCTTAGATGATGCAGAATATGCCCCAACATAAAGCAATCCTATATATAAGGCTCTCCTATTTGCCCAAGAAAAGACCCAAAACACATTTTCTTCCAAATAAATACATGAACATTTAGTGTGACAACGAAATACATATCTAATTATTAACATTTGTTTATGTCTAATTAATAATTCAAACATCTAATTGGTTTTTACAGATGTTGATAAAATGCTCATGCCTGATTCTAAAATTTAAATTGCAGTTTAGTTAGGAACACATACCTTGAATTACCTATAAGGTAAAATATATTAATTTAGATATTTGATTTGGGCCCTACTTGCATATTTCATGAAACTGTTTTATTTATTTACAATAATTTTATAAATAATTTAAATTTCAGAGTTAAAATATATCATTTTCATTTCTAAATAAGCTGCTTAAGATGTAGCATATTTTTGATTATTTGTGAGATAGTGTCATGGGAAATTTACATAAAACTAATCAGTTTTTTATTTGTTCTGTAACTGTATAGTTTTTATTTCTACAACAGAACCACTAAGCTACTCTTTAAGTATCTTTAACATTTGCAAATGTGAGGTCACAACCTTTCCCTAAGGAATAATAATTAAATCTGGCTTAAACTTCTTTGTAACCTTTTTTTCCTCCCATTGTCTTGATGAATAGTGTCCTTTTTTAAAAAATAATTCGGTCCGGTGGCCTCTAAAACTATACCTCAAAATTTTGAATTTAGGTTATATGACAACAATGTGCCTTCTCCATTCAACATATTTTTGCGTAAGTGAAATAATAGAAAGTTACCTATAGGAGATTTTGTAAGAACTTAAATATAAAGCAGTTCTCTCTTCTCTGAGAAAGAATTTTAAGGAGGAAAAAAATCTCACCTTATATTTGGGTACATGCAATAGATACTGTCAAACACGCAGGTGAAGCATTTCAATAAAATTATTT